GTCTACCCTTAGGCAGAGTGAGTCAGTTTCCTCAGATCGCAGATATGTGAAACAATCTTGAAATTTTGGAAGTTGTTTTTTAAAGAATGAATTGTAATACTACTCAAGTTAAATATGGGTGTTTGTCCTGAAGTATTGCTTTTATCTATTTTAAATAATGTTCACTGTGGAGAGTTGAAAAAATAATTATTTTCTATTTTATTTACAGCATCAAGAGTAATGATAGCCAAAAAATGGAAAGTTATACACATGATTTCCAGTTATCTGAATGGTGTAATGAGATTTAGAAAATAGCTATCAGTGATGAACAGACATGTGATATTAAAATAAAAACATTGTTAAATAAGAATATTTTTTATTTTTATGGGGAGACTTTGTGGAATTTCTATTAATAAAAGGGAAATAGCACTTATTTTTGCAAAAAAAAGTAGAATTTTGGAGGGGATCAGAGCCTCCATTATATTAAACTGAAAACTGAAAGTACTGTATCAATGGTCCCATTCTTCGTGACCCCATGGACCAGAGCACGCCAGGTCCTCTTGTGTTCCACTGCCACAGCTTTGACTATGCGGACCTTTGTCAGCAAGGTGATGTCTCTGCTTTTTAAGATGCTGTCTAGGTTTGTCATCGCTTTTCTCCCAAGAAGCAGGCATCTTTTAATTTCAGGGCTGCTGTCACCATCTGCAGTGATCATGGAGCCCACGAAAGTAAAAGCTGTCACTGCCTCCATCTCTTCCCCTTCTATTTGCCAGGAGGTGATGGGACCAGTGGACATGATCTTAGTTCTTTTGATGTTGAGCTTCAGACCATCAGCTCCATCATGACAGCTGGATAGATATACAACTGCCAATCTAGGACACAGCCACCTTCTTTTTTTTTCCCCTTTGTAGATTTTATTTTATTTATTTTTAAAATATTTTTATTTTCTATATCTATAACATAAACAAAAACATATACATATAACATATAACATATAAATACAATAACTGTGTTCCCCACCACCATGTACGGGACCTCTTGCCATATTCTTCCTCTTCCTCCTCCTCCTCCTCCTTCTTCTATTGTCCTCTTCTCCAAAACTGCATTGATTCTTGATTTGGAGCTTTCCCTTTCCCCCTTATTAACACATATTCCAACAAATTATCCCATATTTCATAAAAAGTATTCTTTTTCAACTCTCCTAGGACACAGCCTTCTGTACATGAAATGGGGGTGTGGGTGGGTGGGTGCACCAGCTTGTTCTTCACTACAGCTAGCAAACTGTTAGAAAGCAGAAAGAAGTTGGAGACCATGCTCTAGAGGAGGAGAAGCAGGCTGTCTCTGTCCCTTCTACTTTGATCAGACACCTAGATTTTATAGGTTGTATCACATTTAGGGGAAGAAGGGGTCTCCTTTTGCTCCCCTCCTTCTTCTATTGTCCTCTTCTCCAAAGGACATATTCCTAAGGACATATACATGGGTGCTTATAGACCACAGGAACTCCTTGGGCAGCAAGAGGAGCTATGGGGGAATACAACTTCCTAGGTGGACAGGTAAAAAAAAAGCAAAGCCTGGCTGGAGACCTGGAATGGGTCACTGGATAGTTGGTTCCACAGGCTAAGGAGCTTGAGGAGAAGGAGAGAGGAATAAGTAGAAAGGGGGAAGTTGGCAGGAGGACACAGCCTGGTATGCCAGAGGCAGCTCTGGAGAAACACCCTGCTGAAGGCCTACCTGACTAAAGAATGAATTCTGGTCTGCAGAGGCTGGCACAGGTTGCTTGCACCCAGTGGTTATATTTGGGAGGGAAAGCTCTTTGCCATGAAACAAGTGACTGTCTGAAGTAATCACACACACGCAAAACTATATATAGCAAGAGAAAGATACACACACACACATTTCTTGAGTCAGGCATGTGACTTACGCAAAAATAGGGCCTGAATTATTTCAGCAGCAGACAGCCTGAGAGTCACCATTTAAACTGTCTGGTCCTCCAGAACTCCACGTGAGACAACCTGAACAAAATCTCAAGACTTATTATTATCAAGAAGACCCCATATTTCTTGGGAGACCTTTTACTTATGAAGTGGCTCCATGTGGTACTGCATCGAGCTGAAGCATTAACTGGTTACAATTAATCATTGCATTGTTGTTACAGTTTTGGAGTTAGGGAGGAGACAGGCAGACCTTTATTTTTATTGTTTTAGAAGGTTATTATTGTTGTTTACTGTTTTTATCCTGCTGGAAGTCATTTACAAGTGACTGTAAATCTGATACCTAAAAGTAACTTTAAACTGAACTGTTATACGATATGTGAAATAAGATTAGTGAAGACCAAAAGGAGAAAATGTAGATGTGCATTTCTGGATTTAAACTAGTTAATATGCTTATTGCAAGTTTTTATTAGAAAACAGTAGCCAGATTGTGCATGTTGTTTCTTTTACAACAGAAGTAGCCACTAGGTGGCTGTAAAGATGTTGCTAAGAAAGAGGAAGGGGTTATAAGGAGGTCACTAGGTGGCTGTAAAGATGTTGCTAAGAGGAAGGGGTTGTAAGGAGGGACAGATTCTCCCCCAGGAAATCCAGGATAAAGACAGATACAGTACTACTTTTGGAGTGCCAACAGGAGCCTGCACTTTTAACATTTCTCCCGTGATCATATCTCTTTTTCATAAAGAAGCCCAGAACCGGCAGAGGTAAGATGAAACAGATTCAATGGGGTCAGCAGGTGTGAGATCTCACATTGACCACCTTACTCCTCAAATTGTTGTCCTGTAACAGCAAAATCCGTAGACTAAATGGTCCTGAGTATGACCTCAGTTCACACAATTGCCTGCTGGCTGGATCATGCAGAGCATAGCTTAATCCATGGAATTAAGCATTTGCGTGCAGTAAAAAGCTAAACCTTTTCTTTTGCTTTCGTCAGCTCTAATGCAAGTGAAGTAAAATAATATTTTTATCACTCAGATATCAGTAGGAATCTCTTCACAACAGTATTGGGCAGGGACTCCACTGTCAAACCTGAGTTTATCACACGGATGTCACTGATGACACCCCAAGAACCCTCAGCATAAAATAGAAGAGATCCTGTCAACCATTGTATGGACATTTGGGTTTGATGAAGAAAACAGCAGCAGAAACAGCAGCAGAAACAACAGCGGTCTCAATACAACAGAAGCAAATGTGGGAGTCAGCAGGGAGAAAAAAGACCAACCAGAAGATAAATTCTCACTGTTGACTTGGGGAAGAATAGGTAGGAGTAACACAATTCAGGGTGGCAGGCCAGCAGTTCAGCTGTTTCTTCTCCCCTTTTCCTTGTTGTATTGGCAAAGCAACAGGAATTCTGGAGGTTATTTTGACTCCCTAAATGCTTGGCTTCAGAAGCTTCTTCAAGAGCTATTTAGAAGCTATTTAGAGGGATTTAAGCGTAGTTTTTTTAAAAAAGACTATGTGTATATATAAAAGTTAAAAGGGCTGAATAAAAACAAAAGAGCAGAAAAGCAAGGGAGAGAACGCTGTTGCTGCTGCACCCTGCCAGAACTGGAACCGAGTCTATTTACTGTATCTGTAACCTGCTTTTTTAGAAATAGTGCCTGAAACAGCACAAAATATATCAACAATAGCTATTAAAAACAATAACAATACAGTTACACCAAGAGATTAATGTATGAAGTAAAAATACAATACTGAATAAATGTGACAAAACTAACATAATCCAATAATTTAAACTAAGTAAGTGAGCCAGTATGATGTAGTGGATAAAGTGACAAACTAGAATTTGGGAGGCTTGGGTTTAAATCCCCACCCAGACATGGAAACTCATGGGGGGAGGGGGAGTACTGGTCAACCCATTCCTTAAACATTTTACACAACCTGAAAATGATATTAGACTTGTCATAAGTCAGGTTCATCTTGAGGACAATTAGTACAGAGAAGATAAATAAATCCCAATTCAGATGCAAAGATAATAGAGATTAGAGTCAAAGCCAAATATATCCTGATGGGGCACTAAGGCAACACTGGGCTTTCGACTCTTAAGTCTACAGGGGTTGACAGGCAGCCACACAACTCCCATGTGCCTCCTCTGTCAGCTCCTTCCCCTTTTCTCACTTTTTTTTTTGTCTTCCAGGTTTCCATTTCTCCTTCAAGTCTCACCTTCACTTAAAAATGATGTTACTCAGCCTTTCTCACAGACAGTGGCTGGGGCAGCAAACCAGAGGGAGAATGTGCAACCATTTAAGGTCAGTGTCTTTCCCCTTCCCGCGGGGAGGCTAAGGTAGGTGGAAAAAGCCGGGCCCCTTGTCCTTCCATCCTTTCCAGCTCTCTCTTGGGCCAGCATTTGTGCCAGGCTCCAAGATGGTGCCCCTCGCCCTGCAGACACTTTGCAGCATCTCCAGCCAAACAGCTGGCCACCTCACCCAGTGGAGAGAGATCAGGGACGGGTGCCGACGACATACTCCTGATCGGAGAGGACAGTTCCAGGTGAGCAACCACGGGAAGGACCGGGGAGAGTCAACCAGGAACCTTAACTGCGGGGACAGCACCATCGCAGGATCCAGGGCGTGGGCCCATCGGCCGGGTCTTTCGCCAGATGGCCTCTACCCAGGAGCGCGCCGCAGAGGAGGGGCGCCGCAGACGAGGAGGGCTTCATTCCGCAGAACCGCCGCCGAGCAGTGGGGCCATTAAACAGCACCTTTGGGGTGAGGAGGCGCAGAGCGGCCC